GTTCGTGTTCCGTCGGGCATACCTCGTAGTTCAGATCCCCGAGTCGACGAAGCACTTTGTAAGGTCCAAAGTAACATTTCAGGAGTTTCTCGCTGAGACCGCGGCGGCGAATCGGTGTCCACACCCACATCCTGTCTCCGGGCTTTAAGTGGACGTCGTGACGACGAAGCTTGTAGCGGCCCGCGTCGACGCGTTGCTGGTCTTGATTCAGGAGTCGGGCGAGCTGGCGAACTTCTTCGGCCCATTGAGCAACCACCTGAGCGTCGTCGCCCTCACTGTCAGCTGGCTCATGGGTTAGCATCGCGTCCAGCATGGTCGTTACTTTCCGACCACGTACCAGCTGGAAGGGTGTGAATCCAGTGGTCTCTTGAACCGCCGTATTATAGGCGAACGTGACGTAGGGCAGCACCTCGTCCCACGTCTTGTGCTCAACGTCGACGTACATAGAGATCATGTCGGCGATTGTCTTGTTCAGTCTCTCCGTCAGCCCGTTGGTCTGCGGGTGGTACACAGTTGTACGACGGTGGCTGGTGTGACTGAGTCGGAAGATTTCTTGGGTCAGCTGTGCCATGAACGATGATCCACGATCTGTACTCAGAACGCCGTGTCGGAGGACGATGGACTCAATGAAAAACTTGGCAACTTCCACAGCAGTCCCCGAAGGAACGGCTTTCGTTTCGGCGTACCGCGTGAGATAATCTGTGGCGACGATGATCCAGCGGTTCCCCGACGTCGTAGGCGGAAAAGGACCAAATAGATCTATTCCGATCTGCTGGAAGGGTGCAGTTGGAGGAGAAATGGGCTGCAGGAGTCCGGCCGGCCTCGTCGGAGGTTTCTTGCTTCGCTGACACTCGTGGCATGATAGTGTGCATAGGTGGATGGTCTTGGGGAGCTTGGGCCACTAATACTTTTCACGAATACGGGCCAGTGTCCGGCTGTAACCAAGGTGTCCGGACGTCGGGTCGTCGTGGCAGGCTTGGAAGATCTCCTCTCGAAGGTCAGTCGGGATTACTAGCGGCCACGACAAATTGTTGTCCCTGAAGTTCTCTTTGTAGAGTACACCTTGTCGCATGACGAAGGTCGTCAGGGCTCGTGAGAAAACACGTGGCATGGTACTCCCGTGCCCTTCCAGGTGCTCTATTAGTGCGCGCAGCTCAGGATCATCTCGTTGACGTCGTGCCATGTCGTCGGTGTTCACCGCGCCTAAGAAGCACTCGTGTTTGTCGTCGTCGCTGCTACCGGAAGCTGTTTCGACGGGCGCTCGAGACAGGCAGTCGGCGTCGCTGTGCTTGCGGCCTGACTTGTAGACTACAGTCATGTTGAACTCTTGTAGTCGGAGACTCTATCGAGCAAGGCGTCCTGACGGGTCCTTGAGGTTGGCCAACCAGCAGAGCGAATGGTGGTCCGTGACTACGCGGAACGGGCTCCCGTACAAGTACGGACGAAACTTTGTGATTGCCCAGACGACCGCAAGGCATTGTTTCTCAGTCGTGGTATAATTTTTCTCCGCCATGGATAGTGTCCGACTTGCGTAGGCAATGACTCGCTCGGTGCCTTCTTGTAGTTGAACTTGTACCCTACCAAGTCCTGCGTTACTTGCGTCTGTGTGAATCTCGGTTTCCGCATCCTGATCGAAATGTCCAAGAACAGGAGGCGTCTGGAGTCGTCGATTCAGCTCGTCGAATGCCTGCTGCTGCTCTTCGGCCCATTCGAACTTCTCGGCGTCCTTCGTGAGGTTTGTGAGCGGTGCCGAAATCCTTGCGAAATCCCGAACGAAGCGCCGATAGTACGCACAAAGTCCCAGGAATCTTTGCACGGCCTTCTTGTCTGTCGGCGCTGGAAATGTCGCGACGGCGCGAGTCTTCTCTGGGTCTGGGCGAACGCCATCATGGCTAACCACGTGTCGTAGGAACTTCAGTTCGTCATAGGCGAACCGACACTTCGATGGCTTAAGGGTGAGCCCGGCGGTCTGTTTGGCCTGAAGAACAGCTTGGAGTCGTCGCAAGTGCTCGTCGAAATTGCTTGAAAACACTACGACTTCGTCAAGGTAGACGAGACAGCTCTGGCATTTTAGCCCAGCCAGCACGGTGTCCATGTCACGCTGGAAAGTTGCTGGCGCCGTGCATAGTCCTCAAGGCATGACCTTGATCTCGTACAGTCCGTCTGGCGTGACGACAGCTGTCTTTTCTCAGTCCCGTTCGTCAACTTCGATCTGCCAGTAGCTGCTCTTCAGGTCCATCGATGAAAAATATCGAGAATGGCGCACGCGGTCCAGCGTGTCGTCTACGCGGGGGAGTTTGTAGACGTCTTTCTTCGTCACCGCGTTCAGCTGTCGGTAGTCCACGCAAAACCTAAGCTTTTCGTCCTTCTTCTTCACCAGTACGACCGGAGAGGCCCATGGTCTGCTGGAAGGCTGGATTATGTCGTCGTTCAGCATTTCTTGCACTTGCTCCTGTATTACCTCCCTTTCTTTTACTGAGACTCGATATGGCGATCGATGCACAGGGAGCGCGTCGTCCTCGGTAACAATGCGATGCTTCGCAGCGGTGGTTTGGCGCACCTTTGACGACGTCGCAAAGCAGTTGCTGTATTCGGCGAGGAGGTCACTCACCTGCTGTTGTTTTAGGTCCGGAAGCTTAGGGTCAATGTCGAGCTGCGCTGGCGACGTAAAGTCCTGCTGAGGCAGCGATTATTCTTCAGCAATCACGGTGACTTCGGCGGAGTTTCGGAGTTCCTCGACATGGCCCACAGCTGCTCCTTTAGTGAGGTGTTGCGGTTCTTGTGGAAATTCGTCACGAGGACCACAGTGCGCCCATCCTGAAGTTCAGCTACTCCTCTTGCGACGCCTATTCCTCTTCCCAGGAGCAGCTGAAGGTTACCTTCCAGAAGAACTTCGCCGCGGGTAGCTGCATCGTTCACGACGGGTACGACGACACTTGATTGCGGCGACAGATTCACGTGGTCGGCAACGACTCGGACGGCGGCTGAAGCAGTTCGGAGTTTCTCTGAAGGCGGAACAGGTGTCCGCAGCGTCAATCTGTTTTCTCCAAGGTCGATGAGAATTAACACTGTCCTCGGTTATAGTGACTACGACCATTTGCATAATGTCACAACACTAGACAACGCTCCGTCTACCCCAATCCACTAAATATATGTGATAATATGTGAAGGCGTTACTCCCACAAGCATCCTCGTTCGTTGCGGCACACTTGTCATTTTCTCTTGGAAAACAGGATGTATTTTTTTCTGTTTCTTTCACCGCAATGACCCTGTTTTAAAAGCTGCTTACTCTTTTGTACTCCAACTTGTAGGGTGGCCCACTTTAGTGGTTCTTGGTACACGGAAGGCTCGAGGGGAGTGGGGAGCTTTCTTCTCTCCCCGCCAGTCTTTCGTGTACTAAAGTGGAAAGAGTTTACTGCACTGGACGGGTGCGGTGCGGGCCCCGAGGAATTGGCCATCAGTCACCCTTTTTGTGAGTCAGCTTTTTGTTGCGAGCACTTCAAAAATAATGGTAAGTCTTCCTTTCTTCTTCCTGTTTTTACCCCAGCAGGACGCATCTTATCTCAAGCAGATATTTTTACAAATAAAACATAATGGTGGCTGACGTAAACTTGATATTCTGCCGATGCCTGTGGCATCAGATAGACGTCCGCTGATGCATGTGGCATCAGCGGACGTCTCTGGAGAACACCGGAGTAAACTGCAGTCGGTTAGTGCTCCGTGCGTTTTTGAACGGCGCCAAGAAAGGTACACACGGCAAACGTGCGTTTACAATTCCTTGTTTTAACTGACGTTCTAATTAATTGTTATTATGAGTGTCCTTTTTTCGATTACTTAAATTTATATACTGGAAACTTGTGTTTTATTCGCCAACGTCTCAACCGAGGCTCGACCTGTTCAGAACCAAAAGGAGAAGAATATCGAGCCAAACCTTATTTATTATTTAATTATCACCTTACTGTTACAACTATGTTTTGCTATCGTCTGGCTAGATGTATGATGATTTCTACAGCTTCGCGATTTCGACAATAGAGAATTTTAGTAGATCGGTCCAATGACTCCGCCGCCGTCTTTGCGCATTCATCATATCGTTATCGAGGGCAGCGAAGGTACTGGAACGATCTACTAAATCTCTCGAATATCAGGCGACGGCTGCAACGAGGAAGCTTTGCTCTATCTTCGAGGTAAATAGTACTTCCATTACTTCGCTGAGAAAGCTCAATGCAGAGCATAAAACATTCTTGAGGCACAATATGCCACTAACATCCAGTGCCTCAGTTTAAATGGTGTTCAACGTGTAGTCGACATATTGAGTAAGAAATAACGCAAAATGTTTAATGAGACTTTTGAGTGTCAGCTGTTGCTCGAAATACTCAAGGTCATTAAATGAAACAGGTGGCAAAAATAAGAACTTGAATAACCCTCTTCCTTTTGTTTCTTAATTGAAGACAATACTGTTGAAAGTAACGGATTACTTTTTGAGGTAATGGCCATTTACTTTCATGGAAGGGTAATCGTAATTGTAATAAATTACAATTTCGCCTTGAGTAATTGTAAATGTAATTCCTTACTATTTTTTAGTAACGTGTTCAAGTCTGGATGTATGGCTTCCTAGTCCTACTCCTTATGTCGGGAAGAGTCATTGTTCTTAGAGAGCGTGCCAACCACGCCAGACAAATAAATGCGACCGTCATTTTAACAGTAATATTTACTTTATCTAATTGGTTTTATATTACGGCGCAATGCTTCGCGACTTGGACATATTTTTGCAACGAAACCGCAGTGCCCGAGCGAAATATTTTTTTTATGTCTTCTGTCTAGTTAATTCCTAAAAACACAACAAAAGAAGGCTTTTTCTCAGCGACGAGACTGAGCACATCCTTAAAGAACTTCTCACACGTATAGTGTGCAGCAACGCTTAAGGCACGCTAACTGCTCTAATACGTCATACAGAAGACGAACACAGTCTGACTCGTTTCTTTTTCTTGGCACAAATTTCATCATGGGCTAAAAAAAAAAGGGGTGTCATCTTACATCCTTTTGTCCCTTATATCATGCGCCCCAAAACTTCAATTCGACGAACAGCGCACTAAAGGCGAAGAGACGACCCCAAATTTTACGAGGGGCTTGATAACGGTGAGATATACCTCATAAACACTTGAAGTACTTATCAAAAACCACAGAAAGAAAACACTGAGGAGGAGGAGGAGGAGGAAAAACTTTATTCAGGGAAAAGGCAGGAGTGTTTTTTCTCTGGTCGGGAGCCCCTAGTCCAGGGCCCCGTTGGCCTCTGCTATCCGCTTAGCCCGAGAGATCAGCATTCGCTGGTCCTCGGGCTTTGCGCTAGACAGCGCAGCCTCCCAGGAGGTAAAGGATGGGTCAGGGATGGGAAGGATGCCTTGCCCCGGTGGAGAGGGGCAGGCCCAGGTAGAGTGGAAAAGGGAAGGTTCGGGGGATTGGCAGCCGGGGCAGGTTCTCCGGTATCTGTTAGGAAAAAATAGATGCTTGTGGTACAAATTTGGGAAAGTGTGTGTTTGTATCTGTCGCCACTCAATCCCTTCCTGCCTAGATAGGTCCCTGTGCGGAGGGGGTAGTGTTCTACGTCGTGATCTGTAAAATACCGTGATTTGATTGTACGTGTGTAGCGGTGTTGGCTCTGTGCCTAAGTTCGAGGTGGTCATGTTGTGATTCTCCGGTGCCTCCCCTTCCCCATGCAACGCCCGGCCGGCTATTTCTCGGGCGAGTGCATCCGCACTCTCGTTGCCAGAGAGGGAGGTATGTCCAGGAGTCCAGACTATCTGGATTGCGGGTAGTGAGCTTTGATTAACTGTGTTTAGAATGTGTCCACTTCGTTGTGAGACGACGCATCGCGCGAACGCCCTGCACGCTGGCTGTGAATCAGTGATTATGGTACAGGTCTTGTCTGTGTTTTCAGTTTTACGCGAAATCCGTGCTACGGCTAATGCTATTGCCGCTTCTTCGGCCTCCGCGATCGATGTGGGAGCGGCGAGAGACGCTATCGCTTCACCTCGTCCAAGCGAGTCGCAGACGACTATGCATTTTGCCTCACGTGGGGAAGTGTACTCCCCAGCGTCAGTGTAACAGACGTCTGGGTCGTTTTGATACTTGAGCCTTAGGTAGCGGGTACGCGCGAGGCGTCTACCTGCATTAAGAGTGGGATGCATGTTCTTTGGTAGGGGCAAAACTCGTATTTTAGCCGCAATGCTCGGTGGGACAGATTTTAGCCGCATGCAGCCCTGTTCTTTATTAAGTGGTTTGTAGCCGAGCCTGGCTAAGAGATTTCTTCCAGGCTGTGTGTAGCTGAGTCTTGTACGCTGTCCAACAGCCTGAGCCTCAATCAGTTCTTCTATAGTATTGTGAATACCAAGTCGAAGAAGGCGCTGCGTGGATGTATGCTGAGGCAATCCAACCGCCGTTTTTATAGCAGTTCGGAGGATCGTATTGAGAGTGTCTATCTCTCTGCGTTTAAAGTTATGGAAAGGACAATGGTAGACAACTCTACTTACTAGAAGAGCCTGGACAATTCTCACGGTGTCGGCTTCTTTAAGCCCGCCACGTCCATTGCCCACCCTTCGTATGAGGTGGGCAATCTGCTGGCATTGCCTGCGAAGCATTTGCACGGTGAAAGATGCCTTGCCGTTGGACTGAATATGTAGGCCGAGTACTCTGAGTCTGTCGACTTTGGGTATCTTCTCTCCATTTAGATTTAAACAAATTTCATCTGCTTTAGTGCAAGGTTTGCTTCTAATGAGTAGAAGCTCAGACTTGTCGGCGGCGCAAGTTAGTCCTGCTGCTTCTGCAACCTTTTGAGTGATTTCGACCGCCTCCTGAAGTCCGTCCTGTATCTCACCATCCGAACCCTTGCTTGTCCAGATGGTGATGTCGTCTGCATACAGAGCATGCCTGACGTTAGGGATGGCCCCCAGCAGGGTCGGGAGACTTGAAATGGCTATATTAAAAAGAGTCGGCGAAAGGACGGAACCCTGTGGCGTTCCCCTCCCCGAGAGCTTGATGGGCTGGGAGCGAAGATCTCCCAGCCCTAGAGTAGCGGTCCTGTCCGTCAGAAACGCACGGACATAGTCGTAAGTTCTTTTGCCGCAGTGTGCTCTGGTCAAGCCCTCGAGAATGGCGTCGTGAGACACGTTGTCAAAAGCTCCTCTAAGGTCCAACGCGAGTACCGCTCTCGTCTGCGTTCTTCCAGGAAAGTCTAGGATGTCCTCTTTGAGCTGTAGGAGGACGTCCTGTGCTGACAGATTTTGTCGAAACCCGAACATTGTGTCCCCAAGAAATCCGTTAGCTTCGAGATGGGATTGAAGGCGTCTGAGAACTATGTGTTCCAGAAGCTTACCTATACACGATGTTAGTGAAATGGGACGAAGGTTTTCTAGCGTGAGAGCCTTCCCAGGTTTTGGGATGAAGGTGATCTCGGCGTGTTTCCATTCCGGTGGGAGGACACCGGTACTCCATACCCTGTTAAAGTATGATGTGAGGGCCGAAACGGAGGCATCGTCCAGATTCCTGAGAATCCTGTACGTGACTCCGTCCTCTCCGGGAGCGCTATTGCGGGTTAGGCCAGTGAGTATTCCCCTAACTTCGTATTCAGATATGTCCTGATCCAGCGGATGGTCTGCTTCTTCGTGGGGATATGGGCGGTAGTTTGGTCTGGGGCCGGATGCGATGTAACGTTCCTTTAGGAACTCCCACAAGGCGTTCTCCCCGTTGTGTGCCGTTTGGTGAACAAGTTTTATTATAGCCTTGTTGGTTTCGGTCCTAGTCTTTGTGGGGTCAAGCAGACTCTTGAGCAGACTCCAGGTCTGCCTAGTTCCTAGGGTACCTTGTAGTTTGTCCCATAGTTTATGCCAATTAGATTGGGTGAGCTCCTCTGCATAACGCTCGGCTTCTTGGGTAATTTTGGCTATGCGAATTTTTAGTTTCCGATTATATTTCTGTCTTCTCCATCTTTTAGTTAGGCCACGCCGGGCTTCCCATAGATGAAGAAGATGCGGGTCGACGACGGGCGCCTTGTCCGTCGTCTGAACTGTCTTGGTTACTCTCTGAATGTCGGCGTGGAGTTTTCTTATCCATTGTGCCAATGGTACGTTTTCATCTATCTCTTCGGCGTTTGTCTGAGCCCTGAGCTGGCGGAACGAGTCCCAGTTGACCAACCGCAGGGCCTTCTTGTGTCTACGATGAGCCTGCACTGGATCTTGAATTTCAATGATAAAATGATCGCTGCCCAGACTCTCCTGGAGGTTGGTCCACGTGCACGGGCCTCTCGCTCTGGCGAGGGAGAGGTCCGGGCACGTGTCGCGGCTCGCGCTGTTCCCTACCCTCGTGGGCTGATCCGGCTCGTTGAGGAGCGTAAGCTGATTTCTGTCTATGGCCGTGGCTAGTTTTCGTCCTTTCACCGACTCTTGATAATATCCCCATGCCGGGTGGGCCGCGTTCAGATCCCCTACAGAAGCGTATTCTCGCTCGGTTTGGTTAAGGCGATAGCGTCTCTAAAGATCGCGTCAAAGGTGTCTTTTTTCGCCCTTGGTGAACTGTACAAATTAAGGACGAAAAGACTGCTCTGTCCGCTTTTCTGCGGGAGCAACTCGAGAAAGACATATGGTATGCCAGTGACCCTTTCTAACTGATGTGGAATGAACGGTAGATGTTTGGCTACGAGAGTGGCTACCCTCGGAGGTACGCCCTCGTGTTCCGGTTTTGAAGCACAAGTCACGTATCCCGAGAGTGCCGGTGTACACGCGGTTTCCTGCATTGCGATAACTTCGGGTTTTTCGTCGAGTGTGGCGAGGAACTGCGTGAGCGCCCCGCGCTTGCGCCGATAGCCCCTGCAGTTCCACTGCCAAACACGTATGTTACTGGGTGGGCGTTTGCGGAGGATCGGGTGGTCCGCCGCTCTGACCCTGTTACTGTCCCGTTCCATTGTGTTGTTCCTGAGTAAAGTTCTGGGGATGGTTCTGGGATAAGCTCAAGTGCGTAACTGGGGGAGACCCTGTTCCGGGCGAGCGGTGTCCCGCTGCCTTGAGGCTCTTTACCCCGAGCCTGTGTCGAGGCATCGCGGAGAGAATGTCTCGAACCAGCTCAGGGAGTTGGGCTCTATTTTCCTTAAGGATTTGTCTACGGGCGTTGTCCATGCCAGTCTGCATGTCCCCTTTGAGTGTAGTGGTCATGTGATCCAGTTCCTTGCTAATACCAAGTCTGGCCTCGGCGATCTGTTTGGCTACTTCGCGTTTAAGTTCTTCGCTGAGACCGAGTGGCTCAAGTCTAGATTTTTTAAGTTCCTCCCTAGATCTCTGCATCTCCTCCCTAATCATGCGGAGCTCATCTCGATAGCTCTGCATTTCCGCCCTGAGTTCACGCCTCAAGGTGTCCAAGAAGGAAGTGTCGGTGGCACAAGGATTGCTTTCAATGAACGTGTGCTGAGTGTTTTGTTTGTGTGTGTGGTGTTGTGTCCTAACGCTGGATCTAGGAGCGGGAGAAGGGGGGCATGCGGGGAATTGGGAGGGAGTGGGAGGCTGCTGCCCTGTCCAGCTCACCTTCGGGGCCTCTGGACCGGGGCTCCTTGATTTTCGGGTTTCAGCTTCCTGCGCCGACCGTTGTTGCTGCATCCTCCGTCTCGACCGGGATCGGGCTCGGCTGCGGGAGCGAGATCTCGCCTTGGATCTGCTCCGGGCCCGCTTGAATCCGGAGCGGGTGTCTGAACCTTGAGGGCCCGTCGACGTTGGGCTGCTGTCGAGTGCTTCAGAGGCCAGCAGAGCGTACGGGTTTTGGTTCGCCCATCCCCTCGTTGGTAGTCGTGGCCACTGCTCCTCGGGGGGTACAGCCTGGGTCGCTTGCCCGGGTTGAAGCGGTGAAGCCACGTGCTGGGGCCGTTGACTTCCCTGCTGATGGCGGCCATGTTGTTGTTGCTGCAGGTACTTCTGAACGCGTGACTTGTTGTACGGTGCTCGCTGCCTTGCGGGGCATCGAGGGTCCGTAGCCGGGTGAGCCCCGCAACAATTCACGCACTTCGCTTCGCATTCGTGCGAGTCCATGGCACTGCCTTCAGTTCCACACTTTGAGCATCGTTGCTTTTCAGGCTGAGGGCACACGTCCTCTCGGTGTCCTAGTCCTAGGCACTTAGTGCAGACTTGTTTTTTGGGTCTGTAGACCCTGCACTCAAATTCGCCGCCATCGATATACACTAGGCGGGGAACCCTGAGTCCGTGAAAAGTGATGATGGCTGAGGTCGTACTACCCATCATTCGAGCGTTCAGGACTATGTAGTTGGTGTTCCGTGCATTGAGTTCTTCAGTGAGCCACTCGGACGAGGGCCGAGATGTGAGACCCGAGATGACCCCCTTACAGGAGTCGTCCGGCATGGCGGCGTAAGGTTTTACTCGGAACTGCTTTTCTCCGAGTGCGATGGAGGAGATATTGCAAAGCCGCTCCAACGTGTCGACACTTGGAGTGCTCACAACGGCCAAGTTCTGGTCCTTACGGAGCCTCGTCTTGATTTCCGCAGTCTCGAGAGGAGTGAGCTTCGCCGCCAACTTGATGGCTCGGTAGACTTGATCGGGGCCCCAAGCTCCGAGGTTCAGACCATCCAAGGGGCGGACGACCACTTTGTAATCCTCAATCGGTAGCGGTGGGAGCTGTCGCTTCCGCGGTTTCGACGTCTGGCGGGTTTTCGCACCCGTTAGCATCTTGCCAGGGGGTGGTTGCTCGTCGTTCCGTCTAGATTCTTCTAGAGTCTTCCGGTAGGCCTGGTTTTGAAGTCTTTGTTGTTTCCGGCTAAGTATCTTGATCCAGGGCGGAAAGTTTGTCTCCTCCGCTGATTGCGGCTCGTCATTACCGGGGGTATTATTGGTATGGGCTTCGCCCTGCACCTCGTCCATATCCTCGAGTTCGGGCATGGTGTTTCCATCAGTCGGCTGTCCAGTCGGCTCCATGCTTGGGTAGCCCGGGGGGTGGGGAGGGACCCCCGGACGCCCACTCGACGGCGAAGAGCGCCGCCGGCGCGCCGGTGAAGTAGGCTTCGCTGGGTCTAGCTACTTTTCCCCGCGTTCTAGTGGTTTTGGTCAAAACTGGTGAAAATTTGGCTCACCCAGTCAAAGGTTGCTTCCGGGGGTCCGCAGCGGTGAGGACTTTCGGTGGAAGTAGTTTTTGCCCGGTCCTTCGGGTATCTGCAAACCGGCACTTCTTCCAGTGCAGGCGCCGCTATCACTTTGATAATAAAATGATAGGCGGGCGGGAGCTCGGCGCAGCACGTCTATCTCCCTCCAAACACTGAGGTTTTGCAGTAGGGCCAAGAAAACCCCGATCATTATTATTTTTTTTTGTGGTCAGTAACGCGTACATTAGCAACTTTAATAAGTTGAGCCACACGGCTATCGAGCCTGTCGAAAAAGTTAGCAGCGTTAGATCGACGTCTGAAGTTTTGGGGTGTCTTATATGGGACAGAGGGTGTAACAATACACCCCTTTTTTCTGAGAGTACAAATAGTCTCCGAAGACATGTTGGAAGCACGAACGAAGCCAGAATGCGTCTAATATGCTTGAGGCACAGAATATTTTGTCGTTGTTTCTGGAGCTTGAACGCCGTGCCTTTTTTAGGAGCAAAGGCCGTTTTTCTTGAGCGTAACAAGAAATTAAAAAAAAAGAAAAAAGAAAGAGGACTAGCGACAGTTGATTGTCTTGATCCGATAATTGCCGCGCTCGGCAGATCGTAAGTGCGTATTGACGATTCACCGGGACTCGAGAGCCTGACGTCTGTTTTTGCCCGCTCTTCAGCCTTGCGGTCATTTCGGCAATTCAAAAGAACTGCCTATGCAGCGGCTGGAGATAGCGCGCCCCAGACACGTGAAGGAGGGTCTTGGCTCTCGTTTTACGACGATGTTGCGATCTGGGCCGGCAATCTCGGCTGTTTAAAAGGCCGGCTTGGCATTGCGCTTAGTGTCTTTCCTGCTGATCAGCGGCTCCAACGACAACTTCAAAAACATGGCACTCGGTTAATCCGCAACAGCGATGATCCCACGCTCTTTATTGCGAAGATCTTTCCGTTCTTCACCCACGTGAATGAGTATTGTTTTTACTTTGCCCTGGTCATGACCAACCAGAACAATCCACAGTTTTGCTTTGTAAGGTTGCCGTTAAAGAAAGTTTTGGGGGAGTAGCAGCCTGAGAAAATTTACACAGCTTGCCACGCGCGCCTAGCCAGGAATCTGTTACTGCCTTGGTGCTGAATTGAATCAATGCTATTGGAATCAACCCTGGTTTAGCTGGAAGCCGATGCACCGCTAGAATATTTTTAACATCAACGTTTGGCAGCCCTAGTTTAGTTCGTAAATTGCTTATTCGTTGCCTGGGATTTTCGTCTGGTAACATGCAGCCTGTGAATTTCCAAGTTTGGGAGACGACGGTACGGTTCTCCGTTATGGAATTCGTCTCGCATACGCTGAATTGTCTCGACTTGGCGATTCACGGATTCCCGGAGTCAATCGTGTTCGCCATCCAGCACCCTTATCTTGCTTTCATTTTTCATCGTGCCCTCTAGCACAGAGTTGTATTTGACTGACAACGCATCTACTTTGCTTTCCATTCTCTGCATGTGAGCTTTTAGTCTCTCTACTGTAGGTTTGAATGTTAATAGTTCGACGGCCTTAGCGGGCAATGACAGGAAAGTGTCTACGCCTGACTTTCATTGCCAACAGAGCATCAAGTTTTTCGCTTAAAGACTGAAGCTGAGCTGAGACCACAATTTGACCATTCGGCGGCGTGTTCTGCGAGAAACTCGCTCCAATTTGCAATCTGCCTCTGTTATTTTTCGTACGACAGGTTTTACAACGCCATTTTTTCTCGCTTTGATTGTACCATGCTTGCAAAGGAGGTTTCCATAACTGTCGCACAAGACTGGCTCAGGTTATACCCATTCAGGCATACTGAGCAGGCCAAACATTTCTCGGCACTATCAATCTCTCTGAAGCACGCTACACAGTCAACAAACAACAAAGAAAAAAAAGTTCAAAGCTCTGCGGTAACGCGCCCGCTTTACACGTAGCGTCATTTCCAGTGGTGGGAAGGGACATGAACAGATATTGCTGTAACAAAGAATTCTTAATTACACTAACACACAATATTTCCGAAATTCATTCAATCATGCATTCATTTATAAGCACTGTGAACCCATACAGGGCTCTTACAGTGTGAAATAAAAATATATAAGGAAGACATAAAGGTCGCTGGTACAAGATGAAGAATATTCCCGTAACAACAACTACAATATAATATAATACGGAACATCGCTCGATCTGGCATTTTTGCTGCGAATGCGGCCCTCAAAATTCCAATTGACTTTCAACTTGACAAGTAGGTGCTAAGAGCGTGGCACTTAAACGTCAAGTTCTGGCCCTAGTATGAATTAGAGCGTCTTATAAAGATCGGCCGTTCATTTTCTGTTCGTGAGAAGAACTGGGCCATCTCTGTTGGATTTAGTGAATGTTCACTCTATGAAGACGAGTTTAGTGGACAGTTCGTTCTATCAAGGCTAGCTTTTTTATATAAATTTGGTTACTTCTGCTTTGGGAATGTTAACAGAACTTGACCTGTTTCGCACCAGAAAGAAATGTTATCACATTCGGACCGCGAGAATTATAGTTTGCATATACTTCAGGAGAGAAGAGTTGTCAAGATGTCCAAGTTCTCGTGGTAAGCTACAAAGCGGTCTGTTGGAAAAGAAACCGTCACTATCTTTTATATTCAAGTGGAATCTGTTTTATTATGTAGTTGTGAAGGCCCGTTTTCGATTGTCGAGATTTCCGATAAGCTGATATAATAACTTGGCCCAGTACGGCGATGATATGGTGCATTCCCCTTCCGTGTATAAAAACGCTGACTATATGGCCGTAAAGATTCCCCCATGAGCCGCAGTGCGCTGATGTGCGAGATATTGAGCGACTGTCTGTTTGTGAGCAAACGAGGAAGCTGTCGCAAATGTCGTTTTCGCACGCAACTAGTCCTATCATGGTGCAATGTCGTGCGCCGCTTTGCAGGGGGTGACAGCTTTCGGCATCGTGCATCCAGCCGCCATTTGTTCTTCTTTATCCGAATACAAAGGTGTGCGAGAATCCAACAGGTTGCGGAAGAACAACGACCTCCAGCCCGTTTGGAGAGGCACAACGGCAGGGAACACATGCGCGATGAAACCGATCGCCGTCAGGAAGTTTTCATAGCAACTGACTCGGACGCTGTCGCGTCGCGGTATGGCATAGGTCCACGTCACAGCGTCTGCAGCAGTTGCTATGGAAACTGCCGCACGGCATCCGTTTTTGTCGCTCATGTGTCTCTTGCTTAATATGACCACAGCAAGCGCCGTACCAAATAACAGATGTGGAAGTGCCACTTGCATCAAATCCACTCCTTTCCCACGCTCTAAAGCCGCAACCACGCTACTCATACGAGGGTGCCCGAAATTAACCGGAATTATTTCCTGCAGGGCGGGCTCCCTATTGTGCACGTGGTTTTTTTTCCGCTAGGGTCCCGTTTGCATCGATGTGGCAGTCGGCGTTCTTTTCGAGACACGGCGTTCGGTTTCCGTGGATTGTTTTTTAAGACTTTCAACCCGTCGGCCGTGATGGATGATTTGGAGACCTTTAACTCGTGATTGTTAACTTATACGAGCAACGTGGAACAAATAAACTTTGTATCCTGTTGTTTAACAAAATGCGGTGGAAACGGTTTTTATATTGCAGACGGTTTGCAAGATAGCTCCCGTAAGTAAAATTAAAGTTTACGAATGGTTTGGTACTTGAATGAATAGTGTGTTCAGAAAAGGACGGTCATAGTGGTGTCAAGCCTATTTTTTGTTTTCCATAACATTTTTTGTGAGGTAGAGAAATGTGTCCACACAACGTAAGGTGTTGGCTGAAAACAAGACCCCAACGGCGCGCTGACGCAACTTTGAAGGCACTGGCAGTGTTGTACGGAACGGCGTTCCAAGGAACGGCGTTCCTGAAACGCGTTCCTTTTAGGAGGAACGAAGGAACGCCGCCGTTCCATTTTGCATCGCTGGAACTGGAACGGGAACGCGTTACATTTTTGCTGGAACGGAAAGAGGAACGGTGTTCCTTTTTTTCGTCCAGTGGGGTAATTTTTATTTTATTTCTAACAGGGAAAGTATGAAAGTACAAACACAATATCTTTACGAAGTGCAGGATCTCGTTAACTTTTTGGCTACTAATCTTATGGATTATTTTGTGTGGTCCTCGCTTGCTAACAGTTTCGTGTGCAGGAGAGCTAGTGGGAGTCGATATATTTTTGAGTGCCCGAAACTGCGACACAAAAAGCAAAACTTTTAGTCGTAGGAAAAGACAAAGAAAGAGGGTTGTTTCAAACTCAGCTACTTTCTTTGGTTCCACGAATCCTCATACACCCAGAAATTTTATTGCGACTACAGCCATTTTTGAACTTCAATAACGAGACCTACAATTACAACAAGATCACAGATTGCGAGATATCGGACTCACCCTTGTATCCCGAACATTATTCACTTAAAAGATACACAAAAAATAGCCTTTATTCCTTCTCTTGTCCCCCAGCTTCAAACTGAACAACAAATTTAACCTTCCCAACCAAGTATTTGTAGCTTTCAATACTGACTTTCCAGAAGCTTTACCCTCTCCTTCACTTGCTTGTCTTGCGGACAGCAACAAGGAGAAGCAACTGTTGTCAAGTTCTAACACGGGACTCTGTTAAATTGAAGCGTGTGAGGTTGTTGTAAAATGCTAGTGCAACCTTGGGTAAAAGTACATTAAATTTGGCTCGTCTGAATTGTCCACTACAAACATGGACATGGTTAATAGCTGGGATTTTTAACATGCATATATCAACAAATAAAACCCTACTTCCACGTGTTTTCT